GAAGCCTAAACACCAAGGAAGAAAACAGATATTTGCCAATACATGTTCAATTGGTCTGATGGTGGCAAAGTCTTAAACGCAGCATGACAGACCACTAGTGAGTCTGGGTAAATGTGGCTGTGTGTGCCAGCCCATGGCGGGGGCTCCTTACACACCAGCTTGGTTCTTCTTCAGTGTCTTCTCTTGGAATTGTACCTGATCTTATTACTAGTTTTCTTTAGAATCCATTGAGGAATGGGCTGATTCTGCTTTTGTTTCTTGGCCAGGAATCTCTTGATCCTGAAAGTGCTATGAGAAGACATTCGGAAGATGGAAAACCACCGTGCTCAGGATGGTGGAGAAATGGAGAGAAAGCAAATTGGTTCATTTTTGTTCGCTGAACCAACTTTCCATTCCTGGCTTAAATCCCATTTGCTCTTGATGTATAAAATCCTTTTCATACGTTGCTAGGTTTGGTTTTCCAGTGTTTGGTTGAAGATTTTCATGTCTACATTTTCATGTCTACATTTGGTAGTTTTCTCTCAAGATATGTTTGACTGAATCAGGGTAATAGTGATGTTTAAGGGTACAAAAGAGACTCCGTTTTCAATATAATTTAAAGAGAACATTATTAAGTCTTAAAAGAGTCAAAGGCACAGGCACGTCATCCAGACGAGGGAGCTCACCAACAGGAGGTTTAAATGGTGTCCAAGGGTTCACAGTTGAGATGTGAGATACATAGAGTGTGGTGGTGAAGAAACTGTCACGGAAGCACGATTGGTGGCATATCAATCCATCACAGAAACAGGAAGAACTACAGAAACAGGGACAGGACCATCATGGCTCAGGAATGACTCTTGGACAACTTGAAATAGGAAAACTGTATCAGCTGGCAACCCAGAGGCGCTAGCGTTCCAGAGGATCTGGGTCCCGAATGGTGGGAGAACATAGCTTTTTTCCTTAGTCTGCGAGAGCAAGGTCACAGAAGCAGAATAGGCAGGGATTTCTAGGGCAGACAGTCATTGGTAAAGGAAGAAGCGGGGTCGGGGGTGGGTGCTTTCAGGGAATGAGGAAGTACATGAGGTGAGGTAGTGTCCCAGATTTCTTTCCTATGGGTTAAAACTCCCCCATTAGGATTTTCCTTATGTTTGGGACACGCATATTGTTAGAGGGGCATACAAGATTGGTTCAGGGCCTTCTGACCAAGGCGGTCAGGACCAAACTGATAGGGCACAACTCATGCCTATGCGACCCTTTGTACCACCCCCAGGATGGTGACCTCCGTCAAGGACACACACTAGGCTAGTCCCTAAGGGAGAGACTGCCCCTCCCTGTGCTGGCCAGAGAAGAGTGGAGGCAATCTACTCTCCAAGACATTCTGCTGAAAGCTATGATCACCTATATCCTTGGTCAGAAAGCATTCAATGGAGGAGGAATCTTTGTGGGACACTACGAATGGATTTGGGGCAGCTACTGCCTTCTATACCCTTTTGCAAACCAGGGTGCTCAGAATTTAATCTCTAATACAGTGACCACATAGAATGATATGGGAAGTAGTCATTCTTCTATTTTTTGGAAGAATTTATGATATATTGGCATAATACTTCTTTAAATGTTTTATAGAAATCACCAGGAAAGCCCATGACACTGGGCTTTTCTTTATGGCGAGTCTTGTGATTACAAATTCAATCTGTACATTTATTACATGTTTATTCAGATTCTCTAGTTCTTGAGACAGTTTTTGGTAGTTTTTCTATTTCCAGTGATTAGTCAATTTCATCTAGATTATTTAGTTTCTTAACATATAATTATGCATAGTATTGCCGTATAATCTTATTTATTTCTGTGATGTAAACATTTATTTCTATGTGATATAGTTTATTGTGCCAGCCTGGCAGATGAACACAAGTGGGATTAACTGAAGGGCAGAGAGATAAATGCCTTGGTGAGCTTTGCCTTTCTTGTCTCTCGCTCTGTGATCATCGGACCAGTGTGCGGCTGCCTTGCTTGTCCTGTGCTTCAATTTAGAAGCTACACTACCTGTGGGACCCCTAGCCTGTGGACTGTGTCGCTGTAAGTTGAGGTCCCTTTAAGACATCGCTGGAGCTGGGGACTGGCAGTTGGTGACCTGGCTGGCAGTTGGTGACCTGCCTTCTGATTGGCTGCTGTGCTGAAATAGACTAGCTCTCTCTATAAATAGAGGAAGATCTGGCAGCAGATGAGACTGGAAGGACTGCTAGTCTCTTACATTTCTCTCACGGCAGTGAGCTGAATTGAGCCTTTGTAGTGCTTTATAATTTAACTGTTTCTTTCTTGTATTATATATTTAACTGTATATGATTTAACAGTTCATTCCTTGTTATATATCTAATTGTCTTTATAAATAAATATATTAAATTATCAGCAATTTGGTCTTATCTCTCTAGAGAACCCTGTCTAACACACTATGTTTGCTTTTATATTCCTGATTTTAGCAAATTAAATCTTTCTTTTTATCTTGATCCATATAGCTAAAGGATTACCAATTTTGTTGATATTTTGTTTTTACTGACTTTCTCCATTTTATTTATTTACTTCTGTTTTTATTTTTTTTATTTCTGTTCTAATTTTTGGTATTTCCATAATTTGTTTGACTTCACAGCAACTGACAGCAACATACATGGTGTGCCCATCCACACGGATTTGTAACGATGGCTTAATGTAATCACTTTTACAATTAGGTAGAAGAAAAGAGAGAACTATAAATAAAATACACATTGAATGCAGGTGTGTCATTATTCTATGCAATTACCTTTTAATCGGAAGAAAATGAGAGTTGCAAACAAAACAACCTTTTGTACTCATATTTAAACTATGTAACTATTCTTTATTTTTGTGTGTGCTTGTTTGTTTTTTGTCTAGTGTAATTTCACTTCAACTTGAAAGACCTCTTTAGCATTTTGTATAGGGCAAGGTTTTTTTTTAACCTAGCAAAGTCTTTATTTCTTCATTTCTGAAGGATAGTTTCTTTCCCCACATGTATTATTCCACTGCCTTCTGGCCTCTATGGGTTCTGACGAAAAATCAACTTTAATTGTTTTGATGATCTCTTTATGTGATGAGTTGCTTCTCCTGTGCTCTTTTAAAGATTCTTTCCACGTCCATGGCTTTCAACAATTCGGTTATAATGTGTACACATTGTATCTCATTGCGTTGATCCAGTCTGAAATTTGTTGAGCTTCTTCCACCACTCCACTGCTGTGGAGTGGATTCGGACTCACCAGGACCCGAAAGGACCGAGCAGAATTGTGCCCCAGGGAGTTCCCAGACTACACATCTTTATGGGAGCAGGCAGTGTTGAGCATCTTAGATGTAGATTGATTTTTCGTGAGAAAATTTGAAAAATTTCAGAGATTATTTCTTCAAATATGTTTTCTCCCTTTTCCTCTCTGTCCCCTCTTTCTGGAGTCCCCCGTTAGGTGTGTGCCTGTAGACATGATGGTGCTTCACAAGTGTCTGAGATGCTATTTATTTTTCTTCTGCTTAAAAAAAAAAGTTCTCGGGCTAGATAGATCTCCGTTCATTTATCTTGAATGTGCTTATTGTTTCTTCTGCTTGCCCAAATCTGTTGTTGATCCCCTCTAATAAATTTTTCCTGCTATTATACTTTTTAAGAATTCATCTTTTTTTTAAGAGTTTATTTCTAAGACTTTCTCTTTATTGATATTTCCTATTGATAAGACACTTTTCTCATTCCTTTCGTTAGGTCTCGTCTATGGTTTTCTGTTCTTCTTTGAACATATTGAAAATTGCTAATCAGTCTGTCTAGTAAATCCACCAGCTGGGCTTCCTCCTTATGTTTCGTTTTGTCTCCTTTCTGGTCTATGGTTAGATTATGTTTTTTTCCTTTCCGGTCAGATTATGGTCTCACAAGCTGTTGTTAAAACTAGATAGTTAAAATAATATAGTATGGCAAGTCTGGAATTCAGATTTTTTTCCCCTTCCCCAAAATTGTTGCCTTTTTTTATTTGTTTGTTTGTTTTCTGCTGGTTTTTATTGTTCGATGAGTGACTTTTCAGAACTAATTCTGCAAAATGTGTATTCTTTATCATGTGTGGCTACTGAAGCCAGGGCTCAGTTAACAGTAGTCTGTAAGTGACTGGACGGAGGCTTTTCTCAGCCATCTAGGCCCCGCACTTGTTTACTCTTTGCCCATGGGCTCGTGTGACTGAGTCAAACTTCCAGGACTCAGTTGGTGGTAGGCAATTCTTCCTCAGTGCTTACTTCCTGCTTACACCTCGGGCCTCAAAGTCAGCTTGAGGTACGCACTTAGGGCTCCTTAAGTCTTCTGAACTTGTGGACAATCCTTCCCTTGCAGGTGCTTTCTAGATTCCCAGGAATGTAACTGAGCTTTTCGGAGTGCCTGTGGACTTCTCATTCCCCAGATTTTCTTTTAAGTATTCCAATATCCTCTGTGTTACGTTTAAATGACCTTGAGTTATCCCAAACTCTCTATGTTTGACCAATGTCCCAGGGAAGAGTATTTTTACCCAGGGTGAGAGCTGCGAGTCAGAACAAAAAAGACTGCCTCGTGAGTGGGATCTTCTAGGGTTCACCAGGTAGGTCACATAATGACAGTTTGCTGGGAATGTGGCTTTAATAGAAGTCCGGCATGATTAAGCACTTGAGCTGAAAGGTTGGCAGTTTACACTCAGGGGCACCTCAGAAGCTAAGGCTGGCACTCTGCTTTAGATAGTTCACAACTTTAAACACCCTAGTGTTGCAACTACTCTCCTGTGGCCAGGGGCTCCTGGTTTCCTGAACCGAAGAATGGACTCGCAGACCTCAAAACAGCAGGCAGAAAGCAGAGTTTATTTGGAAAGGAAGAAAAGCACCTGATGCAGCAGGTGGGGACTCCAGTGTATTGCCCCCAAATGAACTGTGTCTAGGGGCTTTTATCAGGTGTGGGGGACTTGGCCTGTCTACACCGTGGGAGCAGGACTGGACCAATCCGAGACTGCACCCATATCTCATATCCAATCATAAACCTGGTCATGCTCTCTTTGGGGCTGGGTGTTGCCTGGACATGGACAAGGAAGTATGCAAGCAAAGGTCAGCAAAAAGTCTTAGGTTTGAAGAGCTTGCAGTGTAGAATCAGCCTAGGGCATGCCTGAAGGCTTAAGATGAGATTGTCCCAGGCTGTTGAGATTTCCCCTTCCAGATATCCTGCTGCTCCCTGGATCCCCAATCCCCTTCCCTCACTCTGACTGAAGCCTCTTTATCTCTTGTCTCTCAGTGGGAAGCAGTTCTACTCTGCACCAGGGCCACCGGGAGTCCAGAGCCC